ATGGGGAAACATGGGGAGTCATGTGATCTGTGCTGTGATCTGCGTGCCCCAGGGCCCCTTTCGATCGTCCCGAACGGCCGCCGGAGGCCAGAGGTCTGGCCCGAGCACCACCCCGGGCCGGACGGCGCCCCTTCGTGTCCTCGGAGGAGGGCGGGGGCGAGGCGGCGGCGGTGGGCTCTCCGGGGGCCTCGTCGTCGCCATACGGCTGCGGGACGGCCGCAGCCCGGAACACCTGCGTGTGCGCTCGGGCCCCGGGAGCCAGAGGAGGAAAAGGTACCCAGACCTCTGCCCCTTCCTCGCTTTCCTCTGTTCCGGCCTCCACGGGCCGCCCTCGTCGCCAGCGCTGGCTTCGCCTCGACATGCTGGTCAGAGCGCACGCTGGGAGAGGTCTGGGGAATGGCGGTATCGGTCGCCCAGAGAGCGATTTTGAGCCGACGTTGTCTCAACTCGCTCTGCTCCTACAGCGGAGACCCATGCCAGGAGACACCCTGCTCGCCTCCAGCGTGCCCTGGGCTTCTTGGGTCTCGAAGGTTTTGCCGCGGAGGGCGCGGCGTTCCCACAGCAGACATCCATGGACGTCCTGGGGGCTCAGGGTTGGGTCTCTGGTGGAAGGCTTCCTGTGGTCGGGCCCCCGACTGGGCTCTCCCGGCGGCGGCACCCACACCCGGGGTGCCGCTTGCGGGCACGTCGGGGGCCCCCAAACGGTGTGGTGACCACGCCGTGCGGTGAGTCGGTGGGGATTCGGGGTCACCGCACGGTTCTGGGACTCGGGTCGTTCTCCGAGGCTGTCTCGGGCGACGAGGGGCCTCCGAGGTTGCCAAGACCGTGCGGTGACGGACCGTGTGGTGAGGTCTCTCTTGGGGGATCTCGCGGTCGCCGCACGGTCTGTCACCGCACCGCTTCGGGACTCCAAACCCCTCCGAATAGCTGGGCCAGCGTCTCTCAGCCAACTTGCCGGGGGCAGCTGGCCCAGCTTCTGGAGCGCGGTCGCCCCTCGAGCGCTGACAGCAAGGGAAGTTGGCCCGTGCTTGTTTTGAGCAACGTCTGGGAGGCGGTACTTAAGTGCTAATGATCTCGACGATCGTCTCGGCTGTATTGGGGGCTGGCGTTAAATCGGGCCTGTCCCTCTACAGGGAAAATATTCAAAAATAGTCAAAACATAGTCTGGGGACTATTTCCTATTTTTCGTCGAAAATACCCCAAGGCTAGCGGGCACTACTGAGGTCTACTACGGCTCATGGGGGCGCCAATGCGGGCTAGGGCAGATGGAGGCTAATGGTGGCCTACGGGGAGCTTTCCTGGGCCAAGGGGACCGTCCGAAAAACGAGGCTGGGGGTGAGAACCTGGTCCTGGGAGAACGTCCAGACCTCCAGGGTCCACGCCGTGAAGAAAATGCGACAACGGAGATCTGGGTGGTCCTGCAACTGCACCGCCGCCAGCTCTCTTCGCTGGCCCCATGCCCGAACTGTGCCCAGACATCTGACGATGCTTTTTTGTTCCGTCCCGACGATGTGCCTGCGGCCACGTCTTCGCCCCAAGCCCATGCTTGATGGTCCCTGGGGCCCGAAGAGGGCCCCCCATCGTTCCTAGAGGCCGAAGTCGAGAAACACGCCGGCATGGAGCAAATCATGATCGCCAGCGTGCGCCCCGAACAAGAAGTCACTGCACCCTGCACGTGCAAGCTATGTGGTGCACACTGTGCGGTGCAGGGTATGCAGTGCACCCTATGTGGCCAACCCAGCGCACGAGGCCCCCACTGAGGCGTCCACGGGCGGGCCGCGGGTAAAGCCTCGGCGGGCCCACCCCGCGCACGAGGCGCTCCCGAGGCGCCCACGCCACGGGCAGGCACCGGACGAGAGCTCGGCCGACCTGCGCAGCGCGCGAGGCGCCCACGGAGGGGCACCAGGCCAGTCCTCGGCGGACACCCACCCAGCACGAGGCGCCCACGAGGCGCCCGCGGCCGACCACCGACCGGGCACCCGGCGACGCCTCGGCGGACCCACCCGACACGAGGCGCCCTCGAGGCGCCCCCGCCGGGCGATGCATCGGCTGACCCGTCCACCTCCTCGGGGAAGCGAAGCGAGAGCCCTTCAGCGCAAGGCACAGTTTGTGGAACATCGCCGTGCATCTCGGTCCCCAGGAAGGGCCCTGGCCTGCCCCCCCGCACCGCCGCCCACTTGTCCACCCACGCCGTGGCCCCGACCGTCACCGGCCCTCAGGCTCTCCCTGCAAGCCGGCCTCGTTTCCGAGCGCCCCGACGAAAGCCACAGGTTTTCCAGTGATGTTTGCCTTCGCGTCTTTACGCTTCTTTTGGGACCCTGAAGCCTCAAGGTGGCCCCAAAATCGCCTGGGGTGGCCCCAACTGGAGCCTGGAAAGGCCCCAAGAGGTTCAGGCCTGCCATATGGAATTCCAGTGCATGGAGTCGGAGGATAGCGCCGCATGCTCGAATCATCCGCGATGGGGCTCGATGTGGAGCCCGATTTTCTCCGCGCTGACGGAACCGATGCATTGCCGAGGTTGCCGATGCATGGGCGATGCGGCGATGCATGGGCGACGAGGCGCGACCCTCCGAACCCATCTGGGAGATCTCCAGAGTTGGCTTCGAAATCCGTCGCCGGTTACCAGCGCCGAGCACTGCATGCTGACCAGCCGCCCGGAGTCACCGAATGGTTACCCGACGTGAGCTCGCCTGCGTATCACATGCTTGCGACCACGGCCGTCACGCCATGCCCAGAGGGCTCCCCGGGAGCAGCGCCCACGACGCCGGCGTCCGCTCCGTGCCGCCCTGCCTCCGATCCCCGCCGCCTCCTGCCGCTCTGCTCCGCCGCCCCCCTGCTCCCCGGCCCCCCTGGCGCACCGCCGCGCCGTCGGCGGCCATGGGGGCCGACGCCGACCTCCCCCGCGTGAGCACTGCGCCCCCGGGCGCGGCCCGCAGGGCGCTGTCCGCCCGGGGCGGCCGCGCGCGGCAGCCGCAGGAGCCGCACGGCGGCCCGCGGGGCCCCGCGGCCGCGGGGTCGCGGTGCCATGGCGCCGAGGACCCGTCGGGATGATGAGGGTGCTGGGGATGGGGATGGGGATGGGGATGGGGATGGAGGTGATGGGGATGGGATGGGGATGGAGATGGAGGTGATGGGGATGATGAGGATGAGGATGGGCATGATGAGGATGAGGATGGGGCTGGGGATGGGGATGGGGATGGGGATGAGATGGAGGTGATGGGGATGGGGATGGGGATGGGGATGGGGATGGGGATGGAGGTGATGGGGATGATGAGGATGAGGATGGGGATGGAGATGGGGAGGGAGGTGATGGTGTTGCTGTTGCTGCTGCTGCCTCTGATCATGATCAAGGTCACGGTGGTCATGATGAGGTTGTTGCTGCTGATGCTTCTGCTGATCGTGATCATGATGATGGTGTTGATGTTGCGGCTGCTGCTGATCGTGATGATGATCATGATGCTGATCATGATGATGATCATGCTGCTGAGAATGATGATGATGTTGCTGATGATGATGATGATGATGATGATGATGATGATACTGATCAAGATCATGATCATGATCATGATGATGACACTCATGATGTTAATGATGCTGATGAGGACGATGGTGAGGATGATGATCCTGATGATGATAACGGTGATAATGATGATGACGACGATGATGGTGCTGCTGTTGCTGATGATGATGTTGATGATGATGCTGATGCTGCTGCTGATGATGATGGTGGTGATAGTGATGGTGATTGTGACGATGATGCTGATGAATATGATGATGATGTTGCGGCTGCTGCTGATTCTGCTGTTGATCATGAACATGATCATGCTGATGATGTTGGTGCTGCTGCTGCTGATCATGCTGATGATCATGATGATGGTCATGCTGATGCTGATGATACTGGTGCTGGTGATGATGCTGATAATGATGATGATGATGATGATGATGATGATGATGATGATGATGATGATGATGATGATGATGATGATGATGATGATGATGATGATGATGATGTTGGTGCTGATCATGGTCATGCTCATGATGGTGGTAATGCTCATGCTGCTGCTGATGATGATGATGATGATGGTGATGATGCGGATGCTGATGATGCTGCTGATGATGATGAGGATGATGATGCTGCTGATGATGATGATGCTGACGATGATGATGATGATGAGGATGATGCTGATGATGATGATGTTGATGATGATGCTGATGATGATGCTGCTGATGATGACGATGATGATGATGATGATGATGATGATGATGATGATGATGATGATGATGATGATGATGATGATGATGCTGCTGCTGCTGCTGCTGCTGATGATGATGATGATGATGATGATGATGATGATGATGATGATGATGATGATGATGATGATGTTGAGGAGGAGGAGAAGGAGCAGGAGGAGGAGGAGGAGGTTCCGAGGACCTCTCGGCCAGCCCCGCCAGTGCGCGGCTTCCCTGCGCCACTGCGGCGGGCGGATGCCGGCCCCACTCGCAGCCCTGCCGGGCGGAGCAGCCGGCGGGGGCCCCGCGGAGGGCCGCCTCGGCGAGGAGGCGTGCGGCGCCGGGCGAGAGGGGGGGCTCGCTGTCCACGTCGGGTGTTGCCAGGAGTGTCCCTGGCCCAGGGTGCGAAGAAGAACAGGCGGCCGAGGCTTCACCAATGAACAAGCAGCAGCAGCGGCAACAGCAACACTTTCCTGTAAGACTGTTCGCTCATTCAGCGTGTATTCACCGAACCCTCGATGCCCGCCCTCTTCGTCTTCGATCGTACCCCTTTTGGGGGGTATATGTTTCTTCCCTGCATGCTGGGCCCCGTCAAGCGGCCGGGCGGCCGCGGACCGTCGGCCTGGCCAGCAAGCGCTGATCGGCGGCAACCCGACCCCAAGAAGGATGGACAGGGGACCGACCACGACGACGATGACAACGACGACGACGATGACGACGACGATGACGACGACGACGAGCGAAAGCGAGAGCGAGAGCGAAAACGAGAGCGACAGCGGGGCAACGAAGGGCAGGAAGGGGGCCCCGAAGGACGACAACGGGGCCACGAAGGCAAAGGGCGTGCGTATGGGGCCACGACGGACGCGAACGAGCGGGGGCCGCGAAGAGCATGCGCAGATTGGGCCGCAGAGGGCAAGGACGGGGCCACTGAGGGCAGCAATGGGGCCACGAAGGGCGGCGATGGGGCCGCGAAGGGCGACGGCGGGGCCGCGAAGCGCATGCGTATGAGGCCGCGACGGGCGCGAACGAGCGGGGGCCACGAAGGCCATGCATATATGGGGCCACGAATGGCAGCGAGGGGGCCAGGAAGGGCTGCAACGGTGCCACGAAGGAGGGCAGCGAGGGGGCCACGAAGGGCTGCAACGGGGCCACGAAGGGCAGCGGGAGGCCACGGGGGGCTGCAACCGGGCCACGAAGGGCTGAAACGGGGTCACGCAGGGCAGCGAGGGGGCCACGAAGGGCTGCAACGGGTCCAGGAAGGGCAGCGGGAGGCCACGAAGCGTTGCAACGGAACCACGAAGGGCAGCGAAGGGGCCACGAAGGGCTGCAACGGGGCCACGAAGGGCAGCGAGGGGGCCACGAAGGTCTGCAACGGGGCCACGCGAGGCAGCGAGATCCCGATTCCTAAGTAAGCTGTGAGGGAGTCCTAGGCGTGAGCGCGATCCGTGGGTGCCTGAGTGTCGAGAGCGCGGCGCTTGAGTAAATTGCGGGGAGCTCCAACGCAGGAGCGCGATTCTTGAGTAAACTGCGAGCAGGTCTCCAGCGAGAGCGCGACTCCAGAGCGCCGAGAGCGCGATTCCTGAATCAATCGTAAGGAAGTCCCAATCGAAAACGCGATTTCTGCGTAACATGCGAGGAAGTCTCAGGCGTGAGTGAGGGTCCTGGCTAAATTGTGAGGAAGTTTCCGGCGGTGTCGTCATTCAGGGGCCAACGACGCAGTTTGAGCCCCGTGATGCTCCCTGATAAGAAATTGTGCGAGCCCCAGGGGAAGTACTTCGATTGAAAAAACACAATGGTCACAAAGGGGGTAAACAATAATTGTTTCTTCAGTTATGAGCGTTCAACAACAGCAGCCACAACCACAACCACAACCACAACAACACCACCACCACCAACAACAGCAACAAGCACAACAACATCACCACTTCCGATACGCAACTCCGTAGTCCAGTTTTGCTCCACGCGCGAGCGGATCGCCTCTAATGCGTCGCCTGCGGACAACGAAGCTCGTGCAGTTCCCGGAGCCGTGCTCGCACTTGGGCCTCCTTATTTCTCTTGGAATGCTTGGTTGGGTGTTCCCGCGTCTCACCTCGTTGCGCGCGTGCCGCGCTTTGGGGGCGGAGGAGGAGGAGGAGGAGGAGGAGGAGGAGGAGGAGGAGGAGGAGGAGGAGGAGGAGGAGGAGGAGGAGGAGGAGGAGGAGTGCGCCGAGGCTGCGCTGCGTTGCTGCCTCGTGGGCGCCCCGCGCCCAGGGGGTACGCCGAGGTTGCGCCACGTTGCCGCCACTGCCGCCTCGGCGGGCGCCTCGTGGGCGCCCCGTGCGCTGCGTGGGTTTCCCAGGTTGCGCCACGTTGCTGCCCGTACCGCCTCGTGGTTGCCTCGTGGGCGCCCCGTGCTCCGGGCTTGCACGGCAGAGCCTTCACCACATAGTTCACGTGCACCACGAAGCTTGCACACAGTTCCAACATCCAGTTCGCCGTGGGCATAGCTTACACAACAGTAGCTGACACTACGTAGCCTCCGATGTTCGCACGTCCGTAGTTCACACCACAAAGCTTACACGGCACAGCTGTGACCACATGGCTCACACCGCATACATGCCACCTCCACCGTGCAATAACACACTGTTTGGGGTCCACGCTGGCGGATGTTCCCCCTCCCTTCCAAGGAGGCCCCCACGGCCCCCAGGGCATCGCCTCACCAGGCCCAGTGGGCCCCATGGGGGCTCCAAGATTGGCGAAGCGTTTGGGACACCTTGGGTCAGGGACACCTTAAGCATCCCCCGATCCATGGGTGCCGACCTGGACCAGATCCTCCAGGGCCTCGAGCAGCTCGACTCCGAGGCTCGCAGAAGAAAGAACTGCATAAGGATCACTTCCAGAGTCTCGCGCGGATGTCTCTGCTCGGCGCTGGGCCTCCGCCGGGCCCCTTGGATCGCTCCGCATGCCAGGGAAGTGAGGGCTCAGCGCCGATCCAAGAAATCCGCGCGGACATCCGACAGTTCGTGCTTGCGCAGGTCATTGAGGTGTTCGGTCATGGACTCCTGGTTGAGCGCAGCCATCCAGCTTTCGCGCCGAAGACCGCAGGAATCTGCCAAAAGCCGCCGAAGATCGTCCGAAGAAACCAAAGACCACCGAAGACCGCCGAAACCCGCCCCGAAGACCGTGGAAACCGCCGAAGACGGCCCAGGAGCGATTGGCAATCTAGTCGGCGTTGAGCGAAGGGGGGAAATGAGCAGGAGAAGGCCTTCTCAGTAGGTTCGGAAGCCCCCCGACCTTCTGAGAAGTCGTCTGAGCCCCGAAGCCAAAAGAAAAAAAGTCCCGGCAGGCGCGAGGGGGGGCTTCCGAGAAGCCCCGCCGCCTCCTGAGAAGGCCCGCTCCTCTTCGTGCCCCCCCCCCCTCGCTCGCCGCCAACGCCAGGGGCCCAGGGTCGAGCGCGCAAAGGTTTCTCTCGAGGAAGGGACAACGCCACAAGCATAATTTTTGTTGGCGCTCCGTGCGGATCTCTCAGCTCCCCGCTGAGCCCCCCCCTGGCGGCGCCTCCGGCGCGGCCCCTGGCACGGTCCGCGCGCCAGGGAGGGGGTCCAGTGCAGACCCGAGAAGCCCGCGTGGAGCGCCACCAGTTTATGCCTGCGGCGTTCCTTCTTCTTTCGGGGGAACGTAAGACTCGAGTAAGCCGGAACTCGGGTTTGCCGACTTTTATTTGACGAGCGCGTCCTGGATTTTGACGGTCCCGTTTTCGTGGGATGTCTGCAGCGGGAGCCCGCGTCAAATTTCAGATTGGGTCTCGTCATTTTTATGATGGTCCCCGCCAGGCCAACCCGAGTCCCCCGTACCCGAGTCTTACGTCTCCCCGATTCTTCTGATTACCCTCCTGGAGGTGGCGGCCATCAAGGCGAGGCACCGGACTTTCCTGGAGGACCGGGAGCCGCACCCGAAGGGCGCGCACCCGGGCCCGCAGGGCCAGGCGGCGGGCCAGGCGGCGCAGCCACAGAGCGAGGGCCGCCGGCCGTCTGTGGGCGGGGAGAGGAAAGGCGTCGGGCAGCGGCGAAGCGTCCTGGCGTCCCCAGGCAGCCACGCGCAGAGGGGGGTGACGTGGCATCGCTCGGACGTGTGCTTTTTTCTTTCGGCGAGGACCATCGAGGAGCATCCTTGATCACTTGGCGAAAAAAGTACGCACGAGACCGAACAAAAACACAGGGACTGGACGTCCGAGCGATGGCGAGGGTGAGGGGAGGTCAGGGGCAACGATAGGGGGGGACAGGCATAGGGGGGGGGACGCATCGACGCGCAATCAATCGCCCGTTGATCGCCGATGGGGGCCCGATGGCCCTAGCCTGCCCAGAAGGGTGCGGATTCACTATCGGGGGCCCATCGCCGATCTATCGGCGATGTATCGCCGATTCCACGTGGATGCACCCCCCCTATGCCAGTCCCCCCCCTACAATTGCCCCTCAGGGGGGGGGCGGGGAGGGCTGCTTAGAAACACCCCTGCTTCTTAGAAGGCGCGGGCCTCATATGTACATGTAAGGCCGGCGCCTTCTAAGAAGCAGGCTCCTTCTAAGAAGCACTTCCCCTTCCCTCCACCCCCTTTTGCGCACCGTCAAGACACGGAAGACTCGAGTAAGCTGGGACTCGGGTTTGCCGACGCTTTTTGACGAGCGCGTCCTGGAATCTGACGGGTTTGTTATCGGGGGATTTTTGCAGCGGGAGCTCGCGTCAAATTTCAGATTTGGTCTCGTCACTTTCATGATGGCCCCGTCAGGCCAACTCGAGTCCCCCGTACCAGAGTCTTACGTCTTCCTTACAAAGCCCACCAAATAATCTCCTAAGAGCCATGTGTGGTCTGCGCGCGAGATGTTCTTTGAACATTTCTGGCCGAGACGGTTTTTTTTTTCCAAATCAGAAAGGAGCAACGCACACACCGGGCTTCTGTTCTAAGAGTCGTCCTTGTGCTTGGAACCTTGTTGGGTTCTGATGACGTGTCGCGGTAGGCCCACAAGGGGAGGCTCGGACGGTCGGCCCCTGCTCCACAAGGGAAGCCCGGCTCGCCGCGGGCAGCCACGCAGGACGCTGACGCGTCGAGGTCGGGGGACGACGTTCCGAGGAACAGAGAGCACGCACACCTCAGCCTAACATATATCTGTCGACCCTCCGCGCGCGGGTTTCTCCTCGATCGGCGCCGGCCTCCCCCTCGGGCGGCGCCTGTTGGCGCCGCCCCTGGCCCGCGCCGGGGGGGTGCAAAGGGGGCCCCGCGCGGATCCAGGAGGGCCGCGCGCGGACCTCCGAGAGCTTCTGCTCGTGCAGCTCCTGCTCCTCGAGGGCAGGGACACCGCTGGAGGGGGGGCGGGCCCGAGGGGGAGAACTGTGGCATCGGACCCTGGTCGCCCACGCTCCTTCGCGAGAGATCAGGCGACCGTGAGCATGGATCAAGGGGGTGTGGACTGGCGACGGGTCCGGTTTCCATGGGAGATCCGCCGCCGAGCGAGGCGGCACCGGCCGCATTTTGGGGAGGGCACCTCCCAGGATCCATGGATGTGGCGACCGCGCGCCCAATCCATGGATCGCTCAGCCATGCTTGCGCGCCCCCGAAAACAGAGGTCTGCTACAGACAGCCCACCCTGCCCGGTAGCGCTCGGCTCTTCGCTCTCGGGGGTTCCTCCCCGATCCGCCCACGGTGCGATACATCGCCGCGTTTCCGGGCCGATGTCCCCCCCCACCCCGGGGCGCATTCCGATTCCTCCGATTCGATTCGATGTCGACGGCCTCCGATTCCGATTCCATTCGACTTGGGATTCCGATCTGGGTTCCGGCTCCTCACTGGGCGCATACCAGCCTGCCAATTTCCGCCGACTCGATTTCTCCCGACTCGGCTGCCGATGGACGCCGATCCGATGCATGCCGGTCGCCGACGCGACTTGGACTCTCCTCCCCCCCTGAGCCAGTCCCTGCCCGAACGTGTCCCCCAGGGAGCTGGAGCCTCACCCGCCTTCCGCGAGGCGGAGGCAGCAGAAGCGGCGGGCGCTGACCCCGGCGCAGATGCGTGCAATGTCCAGCTTCGCGCAGATCGACACGGGCAAGGTCCCGAGGGAGCACGTCTTCCACAGCGTGCCCGGCGCGGAGCGGCGCGTGGAGACGAGGCTGGAATACTTCCGGCATAGGGAGGATCAGGTCACAAAGCGCGTCGATATCTTGCTGCCTGCGACAAGCCCCGCCGCCATGCAGGACCAGCACCCTGGGTATCGACTGCTCTTCCCTGCTTTTCCTAGTTCCTCCTCGCGCGCGCGCCTCCTCTCCGCAGCCTCGTGTGGCATGTCCGCCTTGTCCGGCGGCATTCTGCCTCACGCCGTGAAGCCATCGGGTGGTGATCCTTCTCGTGAGAATAGGATGCTCCGGGTGGCGACTTTTCTAGGAGCGCGCAGGAGGCCGTAGCGTGTGGCATCTTCTGTCCCGAGGCCTGCGAGAACCGTAGACGTGATACCCTGCTCCTCGCCTAGTCAGGATGTCTCTCTGCGTTTTCGTCGTCGTCTTCCTGCGTATCCTTTCCTCCTCAACTCTTTGGGCCTCTTGGATGCCTCTTGGGAGCGTCTTGGGGACCTCTCGGACTCCTTGGGCCGTCTTGTGGTGCTCTTGGGCTGCCTGGAGCCTTCGCAGTGCATCTTGGGGGCCTCTCTGAGCTGTCTTCGGTCCCTCTTAGGGCCCCGAATGATCGTCTTGGGGGACTATTCGACAGTCTCGAGCACCCGGCCTGGAACGCCTCTTGGGCCATCCTCGGGGCCTATTGGGGCCCTGTTGGGGCTCTGTTGGGGCCCTCTTGGACCGTCTTGGGCCATCTCGGGTCGCCTAGATGGGCGAGAATGCGACAGTCATTAAGGACGCGTAAGTCATACGTACCATGTTGACCTCGACGGGCCCTCCTCCTCGAGGTCCTCGTTGAACCCTCATAGGCAATCTTGGTTGCCTCTTGAGCCGTCTTCAGGCTATCCAGCTGCCTCCGGCAATTCTGCCACCGTGCCAGCGCAGCATCCTGGGTGGCAACTACTCGAGAAGGCAAAGGGGGCTTGTTGGGGGCTGCTTTGGGCAGAAGGCTAGAACTTTGTATGCGTGCTCCCACTCTAGGGCCCTTCTTAGGGCCGTGTTGGGGCCGTCTTGTGCAGTCGTGGGCACTTTTTTGGCCGTCTGGAGCCCGTCTTGAAGAGCCTCTTGAGCATTTTGGGCTGCCTCTTCGGGGCCTCTTGGGCCGTCTTGTGGCAGTCCTGGTGGCCTCTTGGATAGTCTTGGGACGTCGGAAGCTCGAACAGGAGAGAACCCGAACAACATGTGTAGTTGTTGTCCCTCGAGGCTCTCTTGGGAAGCTCTAGGGGCTCTCTTGGGACGCCCCGATCGTGGGCCGCCTTGATGCCAACGTGGCCCATCTTGGAAAGGTCTTGGGCCGTCTTGGAAGCATCTGGGCGTCGGGAGCGCGAGTCCATTTTGCTGGGGATTCTGCCCTCGAGAAGGTGGGGCGATGCAAACAGGTGGGCACTTCGAGAGGGGTGCCCACCAGAAAATCACAGGAAGCCTGCCAGGCAGCACATGGAGATCTGACACGCCTCCACGTGCACAGAGCATGATGGCGGATCTCGTGCCGAACTGGGGCTGGATTGGCCGCCTTCGAGCCACCTTGGGCCACCTTGGCGGCCCCCGTGGCCTGCCCGCGTCGTCACGGAAGGCAACTCTTGGGCACTCCTGTTGGACGCCTCGGAGGGAGCGCCAGCGAGTGTCGGGGCGCCCAGAAACTGGGGCCTCGGTCCGCGCAGCGAGGCGCGTGCAGCGAGGCGCGATTTTTTCTGGGGGAGGGGGGGCCCCAGAAGACTTACAGAAGTCTTACCAGACAGCACTTGACGTTATGACCGTTTCCTTATTGCACAAGAAAGCGCTCACGGCGCCAAGAGTCATTGTTTTGCCGATCGGCGCGGGCCCTCGCACCCCTCCCCTTCCCCCCCATGGAGTATATCCTGGCTGTTTTGGGCGCCAGTGAACAGCCGCATCAAGCAGAGGTCCGGAGCCAGATCACTCCCCCGCTCCCTCCCCCCCTCCGCCCCATGTCGAAGCGCCGAAGAAGAAAGCGCTGACATTCTGCCAAGCCTCAGCGTGTCAGGGGGTACGCTGGCGGATATACACCTCACAGCTTGAGACGGGCGAGCTGGTCATCGACGTGTTCAAGTTGCTCCGCGCGCCGCGCCTGGGACTCGGGGGCAAGGGCGTGCGCGCCTCCAGCTCGGCCAGCCAGGCATGCAGGGAGGCACCTGGCGCTCTGGACGAGCACCCCGGCAGGGTGACGCCCCCGCAGGGCTGCCGCGCAGAGGCGGCCGAGCGCCCGGCGACGGCGCGGACTACGGCAGGGAGGGCGGCGGGGACGGACGCCGCAGGCAGGCGGCGCGACGCGCGTGCGGACTCGGTGCGCGAGCACGGGCGCCGTCTGCAGCTCGAGCGCAGGCTGCAGCAGCTCGACGACCAGCAGCACAAGGCGTCCCGCAGGGCGACCGCGGACCGCGACCGCGTGCTGCTCGGGTGGGTCGCTGCCGCGATCGCGGCGGAGACGATGCAGCGGTTGCGCCGCGCCTACGCGCAGATCGCGGCGGCCAGCGGCGGCGGCGGGGAGGCGGTGGAGGTCAGAGCCTGCCCGGGCTCGCCCACGCAGAGCCACTGGCGCAGGGTGGTCAGCAGGTCGCCAGGCGGGGCCGCGCTGGCGCCCCCGCTGCAGGCGGCCCTCGCAGGCGTGCTCCGCCGGCGGCGGGAGCTGGAGCGGCGCGCGCGGCTGCGGGGGTCCGCGCAGCGTGCCTGGCGGCGCGCCGCGGCCGCGGCGCGCTTCCTGGTCGCGATGCAGAGGCGGGCGCGCTGCGACCGGGCCGTGGAGACGATCAAGGACTTCCTCGAGGCGGCGTGGGGGGAGAACAGGACGATGCACGCCATGAAGACGTACCTGAGGCGCATCCGGATGATGCAGAGATGCTTCCGGGCCGCGCTGAAGTTCAGGCAGCACGTCTGCAAGTACATCTACCTGCCTGCGGTCTGGGAGATGGAGACGCGCATCCTGGGGAAGGCCCTGGGCGTCAACCACCGGGCCCTGGACGACGAGATCGACGGCCACCGCCGGGCCCTGGACCGAGAGCTGCGCGAGCGAGAGGCGCAGGCCCTGAGCGACGCGAGGTTCCCCAAAAGCCACCGGCCGAAGCGCAGCTCGGAGTGCGGGTCCGTCGCGGGCTCAGTCGGCGGCCGCCGCGTTCGCAACCAGGCCATCCTCAGTGCCCACGGCAGGGCCCTGGGGCACAACAAGAGGCACGGTCTCGGAGACGATGTCGAGCAGCACCGCCTCTCTGTCGCGGAGCGGACTATTATCGTTAAGGGCCTGCTGCGCCAAGGGACTGCCCGCTACTGGCTGGCCCACGACGACTACGTCCTCGAGATGCGTGAGTTCAATATCGAGTGGAAGCAATGGAGGCTGGAGGCGCAATCTCTTGGGCAAGAATTCCGTGATAGCTGGCCGCCAGTGCCGATCGCGCCGGTCCCGCCCGCCGAGATGTTGAAGCTGGACATGCCCCCTCTGCGCGACAAGGTGCTGAGCATGCTAAAGCTCACGAAGGGTGGGCATCTTTTCTGATCGACGACGCATGCGGCGAACCACCGCCGTCCCCTGCTTTCTAGAAGCGCCCGCGCGGCAAAACGTTGGGCCAACGTCTGGCTAAGTTCTTGGGCGATGTGTTCCCCCAGCCGTTGTTGAACCCCTTCGGGTAGCACTTGGGAGAGAAAGATGAGGAGGAGGAGGAGGAGGAGGAGGAGGAGGAGGAGGGGGAGGAGGAGGAGGAGGGGGAGGAAACGGAGGCCTTTCGATGCGGTCTTGAGGATTCTGGGGGCTTCCTGGGAGCCTCTTGGGACCATCTGGGGGGCCTCTGGAGGCCTGGGCATCTGGGGACCTCGAAGGGACGCCTCTTGGACCGTCTTGGAGGCCCTGAATCTCGAAACCCTGAGCGACCTGAGGTCTGTCAAACACCACAGCAAGGGAAATCAGCAATTTGCACGTCGTGTGGCTCTCTTGCAGGTCCTGTTGGGGCTTTCTGGGGGCGTTTTGCAGGCCGTCTTGAGGGCATCTTGGGCCTGCTTTTGCGCCTCCCCGGCCAACTCGGAGCCCTCTTGGACCATCCTGTTCTTGGGATCTTTGTCGGCTGCCTTGGCGCTCTCTCCGACCTCTGGAAACCAGACCTGTGGAAAAGTCACGCGCCCCCCTCCCCGGAAGCCGTGCAGCCCCGTCCCTGGTGCTTTTGGGCCCTTTTTTGAAAGTTGTTGCTACGTCATAAAGATCATTCGAATGAACCTGACGGCACTCCGCTCAGTGCCTGCGGCACGGTGGCGGATATTTGTCTTTTGTTTCAAATGGAACCGCTCTCGTGAAAGCATCCGGCGAGCGTTTCCCTGTATGATTGGCCTGTTTTCCACCACCACCGCCATCAGTTGGAGGGTGGAAGGAGGTGGACGACGAGAAGGAGGAGGAGGAGGAGGAGGAGGACGAAGAGGAGGAGGAGGAGGAGGTGGAGGCCCCCTCCCCCTCCATCTTATGGTGGTGGTGATGGTGGTGGTGGAAAACAGGCCCATCACTGTAGTCGTATTCGTGGCCGCGCGGGCTGCTTGTCTTCCTTGCTCCTGTGCTGTACAGAGGTGTGGCCGAGAACTGTCCTGATGCAGGCTCACCTGTCCCTGTTCGTTTACCTCATCCTCATCGGCGCTCGCACTTGAGGATGACGTCTATAATGTGCTCACGTTTCACTGCTGGCACAGCTGGGCTGGAAACAGGTGACGCGCGAACAAATAATACCTTTTGTTTTCTGTGCTAGCCCAAACTCAACTCGCTACCCACGAACATGGCCCGTCGCACGAGTCCGAGTGAGGCCATCGCCGAGGCCAGATAGCGTCCCTAAATGACCTCCGGGTCGATTTCTCGTCGACTAGTTCAGCCGTAATGTGCGACCTACCTAATGGAGGATGATGATAAAAAATGACCGGGGGTCGTGTTCACGCGGCGGCGCCCGGGATGATGATTAGAAAAAACCGGCCCCGGGCTGGGAACAATTTTTTTAATCGTCCTCCCCCCCGCCGTCCTCGGGCGCGCGCCCCCCCCCGCGGTGGAAGTTGCCCTGAGCTTCGTCACAGGGTAGCTCTGCCTGTGTGGTCGTCACAGGCGGGCGCTTTCTTTGACCCTCGTCACAGGGGAGCGCTGCCTGTGTGGTCGTCACAGGCGTGCGCTTTCCCTGCGCCTCGTCACAGGGGAGCGCTGCCTGTGGTCGTCACAGGCGGGCGCTTTCCTTGCGCTTCGTCACAGGGGAGCGCTGGCTGTGTGGTCGTCGCAGGCGGGCCCTGTCTTTAAGCCTCGACACAGGGGAGCCCTGCTCGTATGGTCGTCACAAAAGCGGGCCCTCTCATTCAGATTCCACACGAGGGGGCGCTGCGTGTGTGGTCGTCACAGAAGCGGGCCCTCCCCTCCTTGTGCCTCGTCACAAGGGAACGCTGCCTGCGTGATCGTCACAGGCGGGTGCTTTCCCTTGCGCCTCGTCACAGGGGGGCGCTGCCTGTGTGGTCGTCGCAGGCGGGCCTTTTTTTTTAGCCTCGACACGGGGAGCCCTGCTTGTGTGGTCGTCGCAGAGGCGGGCCTTCTGTGACGACCACACAGGCGAGCCCTGCTTCTGAGCGTTCCCCCCCGGTGTGGGAAACTATTTGTTTAATCGTTCCCCCTCCTTTGTTTCTTAATCGTCATCCCACATTAGTGTTGTGGCTGGCACTGATACGAGAACAGCGGTTGACACCAGGGAAGCCAAGGATATTGCCTTGCTTTGCTGGTCGTGGTCTTCCGAGAAGGAGCCTTCCCTTGATTATATCACCATGTCCCCATCTTTGAGCGGATTGGTTTTATGAAATACTCAGGTTCTCGTGGGAAGACACGCAACGGTTATCGATTCAGGTTCATCGGGATTGATTTCGACAGAGAGTGCCTGGCTGCACAGGTGGTGGTTGCCGTCTGTCGTCTGCAGTAGATTGTGGGGTGATGTTGACCTATAGTTCAAGAACCTTGTTTACTGATTCGAACATGTGTTTTCTAGAGCTGACCCCAAACAGCGCGCTACTGTATCATATTCTGAGCGGAGCCGACGAACTCGCGCTAGCTACATGGTGCAGTACTTGTGGGGATGACCTGTGTGGTGCAATCTATTTGGTGCAGTCCATGCGGTGCAATCCATTTGGTGCCGTATATGTTGCGCACTCTATTTGAGGCGTTCCAGCAGGTTCCTTGCATTGAGAGTCGAATGAGTTGCCATCTCTTCCGCGGCGGAAGGCGGTGGAAGTTCGGCGGAAGGTCGGCGGAAGTAAAACGAGGCCGCCTCCGCCGGAGGAAGGCGGCGGAAGTAAAAGATGCGCCTCTAGGAGATGAACACGTTTTTGGGTTCAGGGTTTCCGAAATCTCCCATTTGGTGCAAGCCATGTGGTGCAATCTCAGTGGTGGAAGCTTTGCGTATGCTATGTGATGCAGTCTGTACGTGGTGCAATCTGTGGCCGGCCACTAACGGGGTTCTGGGCTAAGCCTCAGCATGCCCACTCACTTCCTTACCACTTACACCAGGAAGGGAAAAGACACACAGGCACAATTGATCGTCGACTCCCAGGCAAATATAGGAAAATGTGGGAAGGGGGGTGAAGACGAAAACTCAGAAAATGTTTGAAAATATTGGGAATCGTGGGACTTGTGCGTGTCCCTGGGCCCCTTCATTCAAGCAAGAACCCCAAGGTGCAAGCACTGTCTCGGGGACAAGAGAAGCAAGACTGGCGGGGCCGAGGTCCCGCCGGAGCGCGCGCGAGCCCGCGCGCGGCGTGCACCTCTGCAGAACCGAGTGCCGGAGGCAGACCTCGCCCGACAAGACACTAGAGCAGCCTCGCATTACCAGCTTGAAACATATCCCTATCCCTGTGTTTGACATCACCTCGCCTCGATGCCGATCTTGAGGATTCCCTCAGTTTCTGAGGGTACACCCCTAAGATCGTCCTCGCCTTTTGCTCGCCCATCTTAGGGATAGGGATAAGTTCGAGGTTTGTTACCACACTGATCACCAACAATGTGTGTCACACCCCGCGAGAAATCCTGACCGGCGGTCTCCCCTCTGGTCGCCCGCTCTGGTTGCGGGCCCGCCGCAGTCTGCCTCGGCGGCGTAGGTTTGCCCTCGGCCCCGGAGCCCGGGAGGAGCTCAGGGCCCCCCATGAACCCGACCGCCTGCCGAGGTCTGCAGTAGACGTGCGTCTGCGCTTCCAGTTGCCGCTGGGACACCTCCAGTGCAAGCACTGATTGGGGACAGCTGGGCTCTGTGCCCTGTGCTCTCTACTCCCAGCTGGCTTTTTACTGCTCTCTGTCTCTCTCTCTCTCTCTCTCTCTCTCGCTCGCAGTCTTTTTCTTTCTTTCTTTCTTTCTTTCTTTCTCTCTCTCTCTCTCTCTCCCTCTCAGTATACGTGGTGTCTTTCTTTGAAGGAGCGCGTTCTGTGGTCGCTTGAAGGGGGGGGGGTGGAATCGGACCCCCCCCCTGCATGGAGGGGGGGGGTTCGAACCCCCCCCCCCCTCCCCTACTTCTCCTCTCTCCCTCTTCTCGGGCCGGCGTCGGCGTCGGCGGCGGCTGGCGGCGACGGCGGGGGTGTTGGTGGTGGTGGTAGTGGTGAGGTGGGTGGTTTGAGGTGGTTGTGGTGGAGGTGGTAGGATGTGCTGCTGGTAGTGGTGGTGGTGGTGGTGTGGTAGATTGTGGTGATGGTGGTGGTAGTGGTGGTGGGTTGTTGTATTGGTGGTGATGGTGGTGGTGGTGGTAAGCTGTTGTGGTGGTGGTGGTTTGGTGGTGGTGGTGGTGGTGGCGGTGGTGGTTGTGTGGTGGTTTGGTGGTGGTGGTGGGTTGAGGTGGTGATGGTGGTGGTCGTGGTGGTGCGGTGGTGGTGGTGGCGTGTTGGTTTGTGGTTGTGGTGGTGGTGATGGTGGGCTGTGGTGTTGGTGGTGGTGGTGGTACTGCTGGTAGTGGTGCTGGTGGTGGTGGTGGGTGGTGGGTGGTGGGTGGTGGGTGGTGGTGGTGGTGGTGTTGGTGGTGGTTGTGGTGGTGGTGTGGTGGTTTGTGGTGATGGTGTTGGTGGTGGAGTTTGGTGATGGTGGTGGTTGTGTCGGTGGTGGTGATGGTGGTGATAATGGTGTGGTGGTTTGTGGTGGTGGTGGTGGTTGTGGTGGGTTGTGGTGGTGCTTGTGGTGGTGGCGTTTTTGGTGGTGGTTGTGGTGGTGGTGGTGGTGGTGTGGTGGTGGTGGTGAGGTCGTTTGTGGTGATGGTGGTTGTTATGGTGATGGTGGGTTGTGGTGGTTGTGTCGGTGGTTGTGGTTGTGGCGGTCGTGGTGGTGGTATGGTGGTCTGTGGTGGCGGTGGTGGTGGTTGTGGTGGGTTGTGGAAGGGTTTGGTGGTGCTGGTGGTGGTGTTTCTTTTGGTGGTGGTGGTGGTGGTGGTGGTGGTGGTGCTGTGGTGGTGGTGAGGTGGTTTGTGGTGATGGTGGTGGTTATGGTGATGGTGGGTTGTGGTGGTTGTGTCGGTGGTTGTGGTTGTGGCGGTCGTGGTGGTGGTATGGTGGTCTGTGGTGGCGGTGGTGGTGGTATTGGTGGTGGTGGTGGTGTGGCATTCGGCTCCTCCCGCCATTGTGTTCTGGCAAAGGGTCGGAGTTCTAATGGATGCCTCTTGAGGTCTCGTCAGAAGGGTCTCGGGGGCATCTGAGGAGCACGCGAGGGCTCGATATGGCGATGTGTGTGTGTTCCTTCTGCGGCCTCTGGGCCCTCTCTGGTCATCGTCGCTGCGTTGGCGCTGCGCCGGCCGCCGGCGCCGGCGCCGGCGCCGGGGGGGAGGGGGTTTGGACCGAGATAAGGTGTTATTGTGGCCCGTTGGTTGTTAGTGCGGCCCGGTGGGTGTTAGTATGGCCAGGGTTCTCCTCTGGAGGGTATTGATCAACGAGTACGGTGAAGGGGGGGGAGTCTCCAAAGAGCCTCCCCCCCCCTTCACTTAAGAGCCTCTCGGAAGAGCCTCCAGGGGCCGCTGAAGTGCCTTTTGGTGCCGCCGAAGAGCCTCTTGGGCTCTCCGAAGAGCCTCTTGGAGCAGCCGAAGAGCCTCTTGGGCTCTCCGAGGCCTCCAGGGTCTCCAAGGAGCCCTCCAAGGAACCCTCCAGAGGCCTCCAAGGAGCCCTCCAGAGCCTCCCATTCCTCCGCACTCCATCGCACTCTTCGGCACCGCTCCGCACTTCACTCCATTCCTCCCCCCTCTCCGCACTCCTCCTTTCCGCACTTCACCGCACTCCTCGGCATTCCTCCCCACTGCTCGAAACTCCCTCCATCTTGCTTTTCGGCGTTCCTCGCCACTCCTCTGGAGTCCTCCCCGCTCCATCGCACTACTCGCCCCGCCTCCCCATTCCATGGCACTCTCCCTCCTGCGTCCTCATCATTCCTCCCTCGCTCTCCCTCTTTCGTCCGCCCTCCTCCCTCCTCTCTCCTCTCTCCGTCCCTCCCCATTTCATTGCACTCATCGGCGCTCCTCCAGAGTCCTCCCCGCTCCATCGCCTCCCTCCTTCTCCCCATTCCGCGGCACTCCTCGTCCTCCCTCTATTGCTGCTACTACTACTCCTACTACTACTCCTACTACGAGTACTACTACTACTACTACTACTACTACTACTACTACTACTACTACTAC